CCTGCCTCTGCTTCCAGGGGATTTGTCTTGTCCCCCAATGATTCTCTTCCACAATGCATGGTTATCACACCCACCTGCTGGCCTGGCCTCCCTCCAGAGCTGGGTGTGAGTTCGCCACAGTTCCCTGGTCTGGGATGGGTATGGGCAGAGGCAGCTGCAGAACATGTAGAACCCATACAGCTGCCGTCTGCCCCTCTTGTTCTTTTTCCTGCTCCTGCTCCTGGTGGAGATAGTGAGAGGCCCACTAGATGGAGGATGGAGATGGTCAGGGTACGGTCTACAGAAGAGGCCATATTTCAGGAGGATTTAAGGGGGCAGGATTTCTCCCTCACTAAACACATTCAGGTCACCCTCAGGCATGACTCTGTCCCCTCTAGCCATACCTGATGGGACCAGGGGTGGGTACCTGTTCCAAGCTGCTCTGGGGCCTCTCACCCAAGAGTTTGAAACTGGGGCACAGAGACAGCAGCACAAAGCTGGGCACAGCCAGGGCAGGGCAGGCCCACTGGCAGAACAAGGTTATAGAGGAATACAGAAGACCACTTACAGAGGGGAAGAAAATGGAGGGGACACCAAGAGTGAGCCAGAAATGGGACAATCAGAAGCAGCAACTGCCGACACATTCCGTCCCTCTAGGACACACCCTGAACATAACTCCCTACTTTTCCATATGATAGTTTGAGTGGGTTTTCATTTTCTGCCACTGACCCTGAATTGAAAATCATGACAAAATAATAATTTAAAAAAAATTAGTAAACAGGTCCCTGTCTACAAAGGTGCTTCCAAGAGCAGTTAGGAGACATCCCCTTGTGCATGAGACCATCACACACAGATCAACTGTCAACTAGGGATATGGGCTGAAGAGCCAGGGAGAGGGAGTGGTGGTAATGACTGGCATTGGTCAGCTGTACCACCTGATTTCCTCTCACTTAGAGTTGTTTTGTATTTTTTATTATTGTTGTTCTTGATATTTATCCTCATAACCATCTTGTGATACAGACATTATTCTTCCCTTTGAGAGGCAGAGAAATTGAGGCTTTGAAGGTCTCATCCAAAGTCACAAAGTGACTCAGAGCAAATCCAGGATTCCAAATTTTGTACCCCTTTTACTTAATCACACCCCTTCACACCACCATGCAATTGAGACTCAACAACTTCCTGGGGTTCCAGCAGAGCCCAGCCTTCCACATCTATATCCCAGAGTTCCTAGCCTTGACCTTTCAAAGTTTACCTCTAAATCAAATCTGAAACTGGAAAAGTAAAGTGTATGAGGAACCCAGGAAGATGTCCCAGCCAATGTGCCTTGGGTTTACATCACATGTTCTGACCTGGCCCCCGGAGACCTCTGCCTTGGGAGTTAGTGACATAGTGAGCCGAGAGCCTTACCTGTGTCTGAGCTTGGCACTCATACCCACAGATACACAATTAGGTTAACATCTAAATGGTAACAAAACATAAGCCTTACGGACCTGCTAATTACAAAGGGAAGTGCTATTATGTCCTTCAGTTACAAAGAAAGCAATTAGTAATCAAGGTAATTCCCTGGGCAGGAAAATGATGCTTAAAACCATCTTAATGGTAAGATTGTATCAAATGTAAACAGTGACTGTTTTGTCTGTTTTCATCAAATGACTCTGACCTACTAACCCTCTTATCACGACCACCTCCCAATCCAAACACATTTCAGAATGCCTATTTCCTACTGAAATAAGAGGGGCCTCTTTAGGCTGGCTCCTGGGCTTATGAGGCAAACAGGGGGTCCTAAAGGAAGAGTTGTAAGTCAGAATAGATGCAGCCTATCATCCTCACTGTGAAAATCCAACTCAATTTCTCTGAGAACTGAACATCAATCTCTTTAAATTCTCCACATACATTCAAACCCGCTGATGACCCATTTACCCTGAGCGTCTTTCAGCTAGCACTGATTTATATGAGTCCCTTGGGGGTAAGCTGCTGCCATCTGTATGGGTCACAGGGTCACATCTAAATCCAAACTGTCAACACCCCCTATAGAACAAATACCATCACTTTGCTAAGTTCCTTTCTGGTGGCTTTTGCCCTTGCTACTTGAGAACTGACTCCAGCTCATGACCTGCTCTTTACCCTGCAGGGCCTCCTGGCAAGGCCAAACCAATAGGAGTCTCCATCCTTCCATGACCTTCTGAGCCACGCCATGCCCTGCTTCTTTGTGAAAGGACAGAATTTTCTCTCAGCTGAGGGATGTAACTTCCTCTTTGGTTTTTTCAAACTCTGAATAAAGCCCCGCCTTCTTTGCTGGAAGCACAGGTGTGCCCCCCTTTCTCAGCCACTGCATTCCTAGTCCTAGTTCTAATTCCCTTATACCCTCTTGAGCACCAGAGAGAACACTGGCTCCCTTAAATAAACCTCATTCCAAAGCATTGTTAATTTTTTAGATGTGATAACTGTACTTTGGTTATGTTAAATTTTAAAGAATAAATCCTTACTCTATTAAAGGTACATCCTGTAGCACATGGATGGCTCAATTGGTTAAGCATCCAACTTCAGCTCAGGTCATGATCTCACAGTTCGTGAGTTCAAGCACCGCATCAGACTCTCTGCTGTTAGTGTGGAGCTTGCTTTGGATCTTCTGTACCCCCCTCTCTCTGTCCCTCCTCCACTCATGCTATCTCTCTCAAAAATAAATAGAATAGAATAGAATAAAATAAAATACAGGTACATCTGAAATATTGACAAATGGAATGACATAATGTCTGCAATTGGCTTCAAAATGACATGAGAAGGGGGAAGAGGATGGAGGTAAAAAGAAGGTTGAAGGACAGGTGTGTGGGTTCCTGACACTCTTCTGTCCACTTTTCTTTATGTGTTAAATTTTCCATAACAACAAAAATGTTTTACAAAATCCCCTCCCTGGTATTCTGCAGCATTCTTGAGTCCAGCTGTCCCACCTGAGCTTTCCCCCACATCCTTTTCAACTGGCACATGTTTACTGAGCAACTACTACACTCAAGGTGTTGTTAAAGATGCAGAATAAAATTGACTGGACCTGCCTGCAGAGTCCTGTCCTTTGTTTTAAGAAAGTCTCCAAAGCTTCATTTCTCCAACTGGAACTAGTTTTTCTCTCCCCCAAGCCAGGGTAGACAGTCAGGGCCTCCCCTTCCTTGGCCACATGGAATGGAGTGAGCCCAGCTTCCTGTCCTAGCATCGCTGAGGGGACACCAACTCTTCTGTTCTTCCCTCACTCCTACTGAATGAGGTGGCTCAGGTGGCCCAGGGCAGAAAAGAGTTTCAGAGAGAGGCTGACCCAGCCACATTTTGCAGAGTTTGGGTGAGGTCAACTACTCTGTCTTGGAACTTGCAGACAAAGGACCAAGGGCCAGGACACGTCCTGCCTCTCATCAGGACCAAAAGGATAGACAGAAGCACTGAAATCACTAGAGGCTCCAGGTTTGAACATCTGGATATGGGACACAGCCTTGTCCAAAGAGCTCCAAACCAGACACCAACTTCCCTTCCAAAGTAGGCACAGATATGCTAATTTGTTCAGAAGTCTGTGAGGCATTCTCAGGGAAGCTTGAACTCACAGCCAAAGTGGGGAAGGAATATCCACCATGAGTTTTTGACCTATCAACATGCAATTTGCTGCCCTCCCAGGTACTATTAAGTGTTCATCCCAGGGCCACCAGAGAAATGGAAGCCAGTCCTGTCAGTCAGCAACACCCTTCACCACCATTAACTTCAATAACCAGTAATTTCACACCCATATTCCCATTCTCTCAGTTTAGGTAAGGACCAGGAAGAGAATCTGATGAGTAAAGAGTATAGCACTCCCAATATAGATACAATCCCTCTTCTCAGGTAGAGAAAAGGCTGCCCCTATGCCTGGAAGACAGGGGCCAAGAATTCGGATACAAATGCACCTGGTGATTACCCTACCATGTCTCTATATCCACTGCATTAAGTAAAAATGTGGGTGACATAGAACTAAATCCCCATTCAATGGAAACCATGAAATTTGGAAATGGGGGAATCAAGCCAGCTGTGGCAAACAATCCAGGGAGTTTGAACAGATGACATTTCTTTTTTTTTTTTTTTTTAACATTTATTTATTTTTGAGAGACAGAGAGAAACAGAGCATGAGCAGGGGAGGGGCAGAAAGAGAGGGAGACATGGAATCTGAAGCAGGCTCCAGGCTCTGACCTGTCAGCATAGGGCCGATGCAGGATTCCAACCCACGAACCAATGAGATCATGACCTGAGCTGAAGTTGGATGCTTAATGAATGAGCCACCCAGGTGCCCCTGAAAAGGCAACATTTCTTAACATGAGCTCTGTGTGGAACATTTATTAAAAATGGGGATCCTGGAAAAACAAGGGGTTCCCAGGCACCATATGACCATCACATCAGAATCTTGGTGGTCCTCCCCTAACTTTTAACATGCTCATCCCAGGGGACTTTATGCCCACCTACCAAAGTCAAAAAGAAGTTACTCATTTTTTGTGTGTGTTGTTTAATCAATACCAGTCAATATTTTACTAACTTAATAAGCTCACAAGAGACCTCATTACACCTTCTGGCCAACTAGCCAGATGAGGATCTTCCTCTTTGGGACTTAAGGATCGGAGAGCTAATAGCTTGAATGTGGCTACATTTTCCCTTTGTGCTGAAAAGGGCACAGCCCTGTCCACACCCAGCCTCTAGGGATTGAAGATGGAGGAAGTGGCCACAGAAGAGCCCACCCATGGTTCAGTACTTGCAGGCATTCTCCAAACACTGAAGGATAACTCCTTGCAAGAATAACTCCTGCATTTGAGGAAGTCATTCCTTCAAATGGGAAGAGTGTTGAGTGGTCCAAGGAGAGACCACCATTTCTCCAGGCCACTTGTATCCCAACACACAAATGCAGCAGGTGTTCTAGGAACTGTATACAGAGCCAGAACAAACCCATGTTCCCAGGAATTTATTTCCATCTCTGGGAACCACGGCAAACAGGAACAGAAAGAAAGCCTTTGAAGTCCTACCTTTTAGAGGATTTTCATTTTGGAGCAATTGGATGGCAGGCTGCCCAGATGTTCTTTAGGGTCAACCCCTAGGGCCACCAGCCACCCAAACCCCCTAACCCCCTTGCTCAAATGCCAGCCTTGGTTGCTCTACAGGCAGAATCTGGGATGCCTGGGATAATTCCAACCACTGGGCTGTGATGTCAGAATAGGGCTATGACATCAGTGTGAGGGTAGGCCAGTCTGGGGAAGCCGGGTACAAGAGAGAGAACCTCTGAGGGGCTGGACTAGCCCCCTAGAAGTAAGGCCAAGGGAGAGAGGTGGCTGGCTCTGTGTTCACTTCCTATTGCTTCTCAGAGTCCCACTGGGAGGAAGAACTGCAGATCTTCTGAAAATGATTCACAACTACTGAGAGGTTAAGTTGCAAGCTAGTCAACCTACCCATGCTTCCTTAGCAATTTAGGAGCAGAGAAAGTGAACAACCATCCTCTAGCTCCCCCCTGCGTCAAGTGAAAAAATACTCTCTATTTTCTGACTGGGAGGTTCAACTTTGGACCCTACTCAGGGAGTCAGGAGCACAGCTCCCATGTGGGCTGAGAATCAAGGTTCCCCAGGATATAGTTAAATGCAGAGAGATAAAATGCAGGACAATCCTTACATTTGAATTCCAGATACACAATAAATAAATTTTAGTATATGCTCCAATTATTGCATGGGACATACTTATATTAAAACATTATTTGTGGGGCTTCTGGGTAGCTCAGCCAGTTAAGTGTCCAACTTTGGCTCAGGTCATGATCTCGTAGTTTGTGGGTTTGAGCTCCACATTGGGCTCTGTGCTGACAGCTCAGAGCCTGGAGCCTGCTTCATATTCTGTGTCTCCCTCCCTCCCTCTGCCCTACCCTACTCATGCTCTGTCTCTCTCTCTCTCTCAAAAATAAATAAACATTTAAAAAACATTATTTGCTGTGTATTGGAAGCTCAGGTTAAACTGGGGCTATCAGTGTTTTTATTTGCTAAATCTGGCACTCCTACTTAAGGAGATTTTTTTTTAATGCAAGTACCCTCCCCCCACCCCACTCAGGATTGTTCTCATTCATTCAGATTTATCAGTGCAGGAAGACCTGGGAACCTGTATTGTTTTAAAGCTGCCAAGATGGCTATTCTCAATAACTACAGCTAATTGTTCTTGGGCATTTGCCAAGCCAAGTGCTAAGTTCTTTCCATGCATTACCTAATAAGTTAGTCCTCACAGCACTTCTAAGAGGTGGTTCTGTCATTAACTCCATTTGACAAAGGAGAGAATGAGGCAAAAGACAGCAAGCAATCTGCTCAATCACAGCTGGTAAGTAAGGTAGCCATGGTTTGGCCCCAGGGAGGCTGGCTCCCAGTGACTTAGAAATCTTTGAACTGGAAGGACCCTGGGAGGCACATAATAGAAGCCTCCAGTGGACTGACAAATGGGGAATATGAGGCTCTGAGAAGTCCATATTCATATTAAACACTAACTACTATGCACACAGGGCTAGGCCAAGTTGCAGAGATCAAGCATCTGGCCCAAGTAGGAGGCTGGCTCAGGGAAAGTTTCCAGAATGGCTTTTCCTTGAAGGAGAAGCAGACCTAAGGGGAAGCAAGGTATGGGAATATGGCTGGGTGCTAGGAAATAGATTTGCAAATAAGAGGTTCAGCATGCCTATCAGTAAGCAGTGTGCTGACAAAGAGAGGGGAAAATGGGCAGGTCTGGAGGGCAGGGGAGAGCCAAAGAAGGAATACAAATCAAAATTGCATTTTGTTTTCAAATTAATCTGCAGCAAATTTTACTTTTTTGTCATACAGTTCTATGCATTTTAACACATGTATAGATTCATTAATACACCTCCATAACTAGGACAGAGTAGTTCCATCAGCCTCAAAACACTCCCTCATGCTATAACTTTGTATCACACCTTCCCTCCACCCCTCACCCCTGGCAATCAATCACTGGTCTTTCATATCTACAGTTTTTGCCTTTTCCAGAATGTTATATAAAGAGTCATACAACTTTTTTTGAGAATGACTTCTTTCACTTGGCATAATACCTTTGAGATTCATCCAAGATGTTGTATGTCTGGGTAACTCATTCATTGTTATTGCTGAGTGGTACTCCATTGCGTTGTGGACCTGAGTTTGTTCAGTCATTTACCCACTGAAAGACATTTGGGTAGTTTCCTGTACTCTGCCATTAAAACCAATGCTATTTTGTGTGCAGGTTGTTGTGTGAACCTAAGTTTCCATTTCTCTAGGGTAAATGTGCAGAGGTGTGACTGCTAGGTCGTATGGTAATTGCAATGTTTAGCATTGTAAGAAACTGCCAAACTATTTTCCAGGGTAGCTGTACCATCCTATATTTCCACCAGCAACATACAGGACAGATCCTTGCCAGAATTTTGTATTATCACTATTTTTTTATTTTAGCTGATCTAATAAGTGTGTAATGATACCTTATAATGAACTTAATTTGCATTTCTCTAATAGCTAATTATAATGATCACCTTTTCATGTGCTTATTTGCCACCTTTATCTTCTTTTCAGTGAAATACCTGTTCATGTTTCCCCCCCATTTATCGTTAGATTGTCTTTTTATTGTTGAGTTTTTAAATTTATTTATATTCTAGATACTAGTCTTCTGTTGGATAAATAGTATGCAAATATTTTCTCCCAGCCTGTACTTTGTCTTTACATCCTTTTGTTGTTTTTTCTTAAATTATTAAATTTTTTTTATTTATTTCTGACAGAGAGAGACACTGTGATCAGGGGAGGGTCAGAGAGAGAGGGAGAAACAGAATCTGAAACAGGCTCCAGGCTCTGAGCTAGCTGTCAGCACAGACCCAAACCCATGAACTGTGAGATCATGACCTGAGGTAAAGTCGGATGCCTAACTGACTGAGCCACCCAGGCGTGCCTCTTTACATCCTTTTGATAGGGTCTATACAATGCAAAAGTTTTCCAATTTGAAGTCCAGTTTTCCTTTAAGGAATGTGCTAACACTTAGACATGATCTCATGTCTGAGAACTCTTCATCTAGCCCTGCATCCCAAAGATGTCCTATGTCTTTGAAAAGTTTTACATTTAAATCCATGCCCCATTTTGGATTAATTTCTCTATACTATATGGTGCTTAGGATGAGGGTTTTTTGGTTTTGTTTTTTTTTGCCTATGGATGTCCAATGACTCCAGCATTATTTGTTGAGAAGACTATCTTGCCTGCATGAAATTGCTTTAGCATCTTTGTAAAAAAAATCAATTTGGTGTATTTGTGTTTATTTCTGCTTTCTTTATTCTGTTAATGTGTCTGTAGGTCTCTGTTTCTCCACCAACATCATATTGTCTTGATTACTCTTGCTATATAGTAAGTCTTAACATCAGGTAAAGAGATTTCTTCCACTTTATTCTTTTTCAAAATGGTCTTAGCTGCTCTAGTTCCTTTGTATTTCCATATAAAATTTAGAGTAAGCTACAAAATATCTTGTTAGGATTTTGATAGAAATTGGTTTTTTTATTTAATTTTTTTTTTTAATTTCTGAGAGAGAGAGAGACAGCATGAGCAGGGGAAGGTCAGAGAGACAGTGAGATACAGAATCCGAAGCAGCCTCCAGGCTCTGAACTAGCTGTCAGCACAGAGCCCGATGCAGGCCTCGAACCCACGAACCAATGAGATCATGACCTGAGCCGAAGCCTGACGCTCAGCGGACTGAGCCACCCAGGCGCCCTGAAATTGTTTTAAACATATAAATCAATTTAGGAAAAACTGACATCCTTACTATGTTGAGTTTCCCATTCTGTGGATATAGTTTGTCTTTCCATTTCTTGAGATATTTGATTTCTTTTCATAAACATTTTGTCATGTTTAGTGAACAGATCCTGTAAAAGTTTTGTTAGATTTATACCTAAGCATTTCATTCTGAGAGAACTTATAAGTGGTATTGTTTTTTTTAAGTTTATTTATTTATTTTAAGAGAAAAAGAGAGAATGAGCAGGAGAGGGGCAGCAAGAGAGGGAAAGCTCTTCACTGTCAGGTCAGAGCCTGACTCGAGGCTTGAACTCACAAACCATGAGATCATGATCTGAGCTGAAACCAAGAGTCAGATGGTTAACTGACTGAGCCACTTAGGTGCCCCAATGGTATTGTGTTTTAAATTTCTGTTCCCATATGTTATTTGCCAGTATATAGATATATAATTGATTTTTCTTTGTTGATCTTAAATCCTACAACCTTCTTGAACTCACTTATTAGTTCTATGCACACTGGGGGGTTATTTGTTTTTTTTACTGTTGAGTTTTAGAATTCTTTACATAGTCTGGATACAAGTCTTATATTGCATATATGATTTGCTAGTCTATAACTTGATTTTTTAGTCTCTTTGCAGTGTCTTTTGCAGAGTAAAAGTTTCACATTCTTGATGAAGCTCAATATATCAATTTTTTTCTTTTATGGATTATGCTTTTGAGGTCATGTTTAAGAACTTTTTGCCTAATCTTAGGTCAAAAAGTTTTCCTCTAAAAGTGTTATAGTTTTATGTTCTGTATTTTGAGTTAACTTATATATGAGAAAGGCTTAGATCAAGATACTTTTTTTTTTGGTCCATTGATGGATGAATGGATAAAGAAGATGTGGTATATATATACAATTGAGTATTACTCAGCAATCAAAAAGAATGAAATCTTGCCATTTACAACTACATGGATGGAACTAGAGGGTCTCATGCTAAGCAAAATTAGTCAGAGAAAGACAAATATCATATGGCCTCACTTATATGAGGACTTTAAGATACAAAACAGATGAACATAAGGGAAGGGAAGCAAAAATAATATAAAAACATGGAGGGGGACAAAAACATAAGAGACTTTTAAATATGGAGAACAAATAGAGGGTTACTGGAGGGGTTGTGGGAGGAGGGATGGGCTAAATGGGTAAAGGGCATTAAGGAATTTACTCTTGAAATCATTGTTGCACTATATGCTAACTACCTTGGATGTAAATTTTTAAAAATTAATTAAAGATACTTTTTAAAAAATAAATGTCCAATGTTTCAACATTACTTGTTGAAAAGATTATTCTTTCTCAATTGAATATTGCTTTTGTAACTTTGCCAAAATCCTACTGCCC